CAAGCACCATTCTGGGAGCTGAGACCTCCTGACAGGAACAGGTGATAGCACTGGGGCTTTAGAGGAGTTCTGAGTTTTGGGGAAGGCTTGGCAGGTGGTTCTCCTCTGGGGATATGAAACACCTCAGAAGCAGCTGTCCCACTCACTGTCAGGTGTCAGTGTTGCTAATACGGCAGCAAACGGGAGGACGAAAGAGAATCTAAAATCCTAGTGTCTAGGATTCTTCTTGTATGTGTTTGATTTGAAAATAATGGACTGATGAAGATAAAATAGAATAAATGCTGTATTTCCTTACAAGTGGCAAGCACAGTATGCGTCCAGGGAAGTTCAGGGTCAGTCTTGGTTTGTGATAAATGGAGAGGTTTGACCATATTTTGGTTTTGAAGGAGAGTAATCTTTGCTAGAGGACGATATATCATACCAGGTCCAACAACCCCAGAGAGGCGAGACTGCTGCTGCTCCGTATCCAGACAGTACTGAGGCTGAAGATGTATTCAGCAGGCACACGCCCACACATATACACTACATATATATGTACATATACATGGCTGGCCACACAGATCACAGGCAGACCCTCAGAGCACCCACATGAACACAGGCAGCACCAACAGCCTCATCCTGCTCCCCTCTGGCTGGACAGGATGGAAGGCCATAAGTGAGAATATACATAGACATATATGTACAGGGTGGATCCCTCCAGCAGCTGGGCTTAGGCACTCAGCCCAGTTGCTGCCTCTGGATCCCAGTCTCCCCAGCTGCTGGCACCTGGACATAAAAGTCCCCAAGGCTGCAGCCGTACTCCAGTTGCCGGTACAAACTGTCACACATACACACAGAGGACTTCCCATGTCCCATAGCCAACCCCCCCTGTGCTCTTGCCCTCAGAGTCACACAGGTGCTCTCACAGCCAGAGCTGGCCCTTAGGGACCCACTTGTGCTCCTGGCTCCCAGGCAGCTTTGCATACTCACAGACTGGTCGACTTGATCTTTGTGAGCCATTGCATGCTTGCACACCCACACTCACTCCAGTTGCTGGCACCACGGACATGTAGGCCCTTCAACCCACGGTCTGACCCCAGGTGATGCATTCACACCCTGATACACACGCGTGTGCACAGAATTGAAAGCCCTCACCCAGGAGAAAGTGAGAAAGGAATTTAATAAGATAATGAGAGAAGCTGCGCTGATCAAGCACGGGGCATGGCCAGGCAAGTGTACTGACCAGCAAGCCATTTAGCTGTGTCTGGCCCCTTACATTTCTATTTTCCCACTCTTGTTTGTCCCAAAATCAACTAAACCCCTCCCTTTCCCCACCTTTGTTTCCCTGGCTAAATACCTCATAGTAAGTCCTGGGTGATTCTAAACTGTTCTTGCCTTGCACTCCATAATATGTCCATAGGCAGTGACCCCCTTAGTCTGAAAGGTGATCTGGAGAGCTGCTTCTGGTGACTCTGGTGATGGGTTTCATGCCTGGACACTGGAACAGCCCTGGGAGGGGCCCAGGCAAGGTACTGGTTCCTCCAGAGTCCTTGATCCGGGATCCCACAAGCCACTGTGCTCCTGCGCTTCTCTGGGCTTGAACAGATGGCTCCCGTGATGGGCCTGGGAGTAGCCTGGCAAGGTATATTTGGGCTTCCCTTCCTGCCATTGTCCCTCTGAGCTTTTTGTGGGTGGGCAGATGAGCTTTGTCACATAACCTCACAACCTGAACGTGGGCTGTGGTTTCTGCTTGGGGCCCTGTGGGCACTGTGGCAACATGGAGAAGCCAGGATGCTTTTCTAAAGATGACCTAAAGGCATAATTCAAGCATGCTGGCATGAAGGAGAGTTCAGCATGCGGCTCTGCCATAGTACTGTCCTGAGGCTTGTGGTCTGTTGCTTTCCCTGTCAATGTCTTTTTCTTCTTTCCTTCCCTTCAGATCACGACGGTTGTCTTGGGAGAGCAGGCTCTGACGGGAGCAAGAATGCTCAGGATGCCCAGCTGCCTGCTAAAACTGACCAGGGTGGTGCTGAGCCACAAGCTCAGGGCTCTGTTTATCCTCACCTTTAAGTTCATGTCCTTTGCCTCCATCATGTTGTACTGGCGAATCACGGAGGACCCTAAGGGCAGGGGCCAGGTCTACAGCTTGCCTGTTGAAGTCCGCTGCGCTCACTCTGTGCCTTCTCCTCCCCATGCCATTGCCGGTGGGCCCCCTCCTTCCCCAGGGGATGTGTTTTTTGTGGAGACCTCGGAACGAACTAACCCAAGTTACCTGTTCATGTGCTCTGTGGAGTCAGCGGCCCGGACGCACCCTGGGACAAGGGTTGTGGTGCTCATGAAAGGTTTGGCAAATGGGAATGCCTCATTACCCAATCACTGGGGCTTCTCGTTGCTAAGCTGCTTCCCCAACGTGGAAGTGCGTCCCCTGGACTTGCCAGAGCTTTTCTCTGGAACACCTCTGGCAAAGTGGTACTTGCAAGCTCAGCAGCGCTGGGAGCCTTACTTCTTACCCATCCTGTCTGATGCCTGCAGAATTGCCATCATGTGGAAATTTGGTGGCATCTACCTGGACACAGACTTCATTGTGCTTAAGAACTTGAAGAACCTCACTAATGTGCTTGGTACCCAGTCCAAGTATGTACTGAATGGGGCCTTTCTGTCCTTTAAGCCCAAACACAAGTTCATGGAGCTTTGCATGAAGGACTTTGTGGAGAACTACAACAGCTGGATCTGGGGCCACCAGGGCCCACAGCTCCTAACACGTGTCTTCAAGAAGTGGTGCTCCATCAGGAGTCTTCGGAGCAGTACGAGCTGCAAAGGAGTGAGTGCACTGCCCCGTGAGGCTTTTTATCCCATTCGGTGGCAGGACTGGAAGAAATACTTTGAAGTGGTCAGCTCCTCAGAGCTTCACAAGCTCCTTAAGAACACCTACGCAGTGCATGTATGGAACAAGAAGAGCCAAGGAACAAGGCTGGAGATCACGTCCCAGGCTTTGCTGGCTCAGCTGCATTCTCACTTCTGCCCTGCCACATACGATATCATGAAGAAGGACTCTGAACGGCAGTGACTCAAGGGTCAGCTAAGAAATGTTGCGTAGGTGTTCACAACTCTCCAGCTGTTCCATCAGAAATGAACCCTCTTTAGAAATGAGGTGGGGGGAGTTGAGGATGAAAGCCATTTGTGGGGTGTAGGTGGAGCCTGTAGCTTCAGCTGATGTCTCTGAGGCTCTTTGTCTTGACCTTAACTGCCTACCAGCAGTGTTTTGTTTCTCTGCAGGACCTTTCTTCTGCTCTGCTTGGTCAGGTAGAGAAATCTCAGGAGGTGAGCAAGTGCTGAGCCACTTGTGGCAGCCTCCATCAACCTTTCAGAGGAGTAAGGCCCCTTTCTATGGCTGTAAACCTGGAGGAGGCCTTTGTAGAAATGGATATCTCCTAGCCTGATTCTCAGGACTTCTGAAGTTCAGTCCTCAAAGTAATGAAAGGATGGGAGAGTAAAGAACAGAAACTGAGGAGGAAGTTAAGGATGTGCTAGAGGAGGTGTCCTGAGAAAAATGTAGAGGAAAACAGAGGAGAATGAAAGGGCTAAAGCAACTTCTTTTTCTTTCAGTTCCCTTCTGTTCTGAAGCCTTTGGTCAAGGAGATTTTCTCATGTCTGGTTTGAGCAGGGAACAGGATGCTGCAGTCTCTGTTTGATGTCATAGATCTGAAGATGTGGAAATTTGGTGCAAATCAGAACATGAGGATCTGATGCCAGCTCATCATTTAGAAGGTGCTCTGGTGCAGCAATGTTTTATTTTATAGTAGTGGCAAAATAACACCCTGCAGTGAGCAGGAGAGGTCATCCACATCACACCTTAAATTGCACCTGGCATAGGAAGAGCTGAACTATCTTTTACATTGAGTTTGTCTCTGTGACCATAACTGCATCTAAGATGCACCAGATCTTTCAGGACTTGGATGGATCCTAAAGGAAAGGCACGGCATTTCCAAGTATTTCCAAGGTTACAGAGAGCTTGGTTGGGATCATGTACTGTCTAAATTCAACTCCATTTATGAGTCATTTACATACTGTCTAAATTCAAGTCCATTTATGAGTCATTTATGGTGGACCTCTTTGAGTAGCCTGGAGTACTGCAATTCACTGTCTGGAAGAACAAATCTCTCCTGGGAAGTCTTGGAGAGGGCAGTGGAAAGCTTTACTCTTCTCACTGACAATTTTCCTGAACTGCAGTGGAGAAAGTTAACATATATCTTGCAAGGTGCTGTTGTGCCTTTGAGGGTTCCTGCCACAGAGACAAGTTTGTTGGACAAACTGTGGGAGAAAACTCATCCCTTGCCTTGATGGCCAAAAGGATGTATTGACACTGTTACAGTTCTTGTCAGAAAATAATGGAGAAAGAGCAGTGCGAAACAAGAATAAACTTGAGACTATCAGCATCATTACATTTGGTCCCCATCACACTCTAAAGGGGATTGCTGATGAGCTTGACACTACAATAGGGTTAATGCAGATGAGCAGAGCATTGGCCATCCCCACTCCTACACTACTAAGAGATTATGATCTCACTGTAAAATATTTTCTTCCTCCAGTGTGCCTCCTCTTCTTATGCCTAGGAACAGCAGTGGGGTGGTCCAATGGCTCCTTTGATGACCATGAGTCCATCAGGTCCTCGGTGTCACCTGGCCCCAAAGTGACAGCTCTTTCACGTGGTGCTTCCTACAAGTCCTCTGAGTGTGACTCAAATGATTTCTAGATCTGCAGTTGTCTGAGGCCTCTTCTGTTTCCCAGGTCAACCATAAACAATGTGAGGTTTGCTCAGTTTAGCCAAGGCAATGGTGAAAAACTTAAAAGACTCTGCAAGCAACATTTCTCTGTTTCAGGTTTATTTGTCTCACCTTTGATGATAAAAATGAGAAAGACAAATTGCCCATCGCTTTTACAAAACAGTTCTCTGTCCCTCAGGACCAGGGGAGGTTAAGGAGGGTGTGCACCTTTTGGTTTGGCTTTTTTCTTTTTCTTTCTTTTTTTTTTTTTTTTTTTTTTTTTAATGCTGAGCTGTCTGATACTGATCGGAGGCCAGTGGTGATTTGACCGAAAGCTACATGCCTGTAAGTTGGGCAGGGTGTGTGGTCTGTGCACAAGTAGCTACTCTGGAGTGAAGAAGGTGTCAGAAACACCCTTCCAGTGGCTGGTGCCACATGCGTGTACGTATGTAGTGCTGCCCCTTTGTTCTGCCCAGCTTTATGGTATATCCTGGATTTTGAATGTCTGCAGCTCTCCCAACACTGAACATCTATAAGAACAAAGACTTCGTGGGGAAAGAGCAGATCTTCCTGACTGCATAAGCATTCTTCAACACACTAAAGTGGTATAAATGAATGCTGTTTTCAATTCCTACTGTCACTACTCTGTGCCCTGGCCTAGTGTGTGGTCAGTGAGGCATGGTCTCTCCTTCTACTGGTTCCTTCTGTTTTGGGCCCTCTGGGCTAAACAACAGAAATCTTAGTGAGCTAGGAACCCTTACCAGAGATGGTAAAATGGTGGTTGGTGATCATAAAGGCATAACAGGGAACTCTACTGTGGCAATAACATGAACTGATTATGGGAGTGTTTGGGACCCACTGCAATAAATATCTGGCTTGATGTACACTGCTTATTCTAGGAAAGTGCCTTTTTGGATAAGTGGAGTGGTGTTGTTTGGTTTTTTTCCCCCTGTAGAGTCAATGTTCTGAGGTTTGATAAGGAGAGAATCAAACCAAAGCAGCCTTTGGTCTTTTTCCCTTTGTCTTGTGAAAGAAAAATAAATACAGTTTTTACTACTCTCTGCCAAGATGTTTCATTTTGTTCTGCGAGGCGTTGGTGGTAGGTCTGAGCAATCTGTTAGTTATTATGCAGAAAAGCATTTTAAAGTTGTGTCCTGAAGTGAATCACTAAAATTAGGAATGTGGAATGAACATGAGACAAGTTGAGCCTAAGCACACGTGGAAAGAAGGCTCTGCAGACCATGACTACATGCTATCTTTGGGACTTCAGCAGAGGGAACAGAGGAAAGCACAGTGTGTGGTACTGATTCCTAATTCAATCAGATACTGCCCTGTCATTCATGACCTGCAGTCTCTGTGAAGCAAGGTGTTTTAGTCTCACTCTGAAGGTCTGGATGTTATGGAAATAGGAAACTCCATGAGAAACTGTGTTGCTTTTTCCCTGGGTGGTGGGCTACAGCCTCCCTTAGTTGTGACAGGGTCTGTGGTCTTGTAGGCCTAAAAGTGGAAAGCTTGTTCGTTTTCCCAGCTGCTTTTTCAGAGCCTGATCTAAAGACCCTGGAGTTCGTGGGAGCATTTTGAGAGGCTGTGAAAGGATTGGTGGGGATCTGGTGTGCTGGAGTTTCATTGTGACTCTGTGAGTCAAGAGCCAGGGAAACAGTTTTCCCTTGAGATGTGAAATAGTTGCCTGTGCTTTCTTTGGTTTTGATATGCAGTCAGCGATGATGGGAAGTGGTGAGAAGGCACTAGCTGTTTCTTGCCCTGTCTCCTTTATCCTTGAGCTCATGAAGGTTAGCTGGTACCCTGGTGTGCAGCACATCAAGGAGAGAAGCCAGGGGCGGGGGCTGGAGATGCAGAACTGGACAGTGCAACAGAAGAGGAGTAAGGAAGGATCAGTAGGGTAGTCCTGGACCCTGTTCCCCTGGGAAGAAACTGAATGATTATTTTCTCTGTGCTAGCTGAGAGTGCTCCTATGCCGGGAGCACTTGTGCTGGGGGGGTTCTAGGTTGCACAGTAAGTAGTAATGCTCTGTAGGGCTTTGTTCCCTTGTTCTTCTCCCCGCTGTTTCTTCTCCCTCCCCCAAAATGTGTAGCCCAGGAAGGCTGTGGTGCAAAGCAGTTAAGAGCCCTTCTTGGGGGAAAGTGCAGTTACCTGCCTTAATCATATACATGTTGGGAGCTGAGGTTTGCTAGGGCTGGTTTGTCCTCAGCAGGAGAGAAGAGGAAAACCACATGGTCTGTTTGGATATGCCATTCGTGAACACTGGCACTCTGGTCTTTCTTACATACTTCAGGTTTATCTCTCTCAAGTATTTGTGACCATTCCCTGTGTGCACTTGGCTGTGGTCCCTCTGGTACCTTTTTTGCAACCATGCCTGGAATGCAAATGAATAGGCATAGCCCAGAAGAGAAAACTACAGGAGGAAGTCACTTCAGCTGCACGCTGCCAATACAGCTCAAGATGAGATCTTGATCTTTAAATTTGTGTGTAATGATGGAGCCAAATAGCAGCTGCCGGGGGCTCTGCAGTATGGTGGTAGAGGTATGAGAAGTAAGAAAGTACTCTTCACAAAATAGAATCTGTGTCCAGGGGAAAAATTAGGTAGTCTGGCAAGTTAAATATGAAAGCACTGTTAGGCTATAGATAACATTGTTTGAAAAAAAAATAACATTAGATATTAAAACTATCAAAGTTATTTTTTTTCCAACTGCTGAAGGAACAGGAAGCCTGCTAAGAGAGGCAGAAGGTCAGTAGGAGATAAGAGATTGGAAGGGAGTTCAGAGATAAGTTTGAAGCAAACCAAAATTAATTTCTGCATCTGGCTACAGGTAAGAGGAATGTTTTTGTATACTGTAATCCCTCCTTGTGGGGGATGCATGTTACAGTCTCTTTGTGTATCACTGGTTCCGTGGAATACATGTCAGGACTGAATGAACAGAACTGAATGATGGGACCTGATGGGATGCATCCACGAGTGCGTGGAAACTGGCTGATGTAATTGTGAGACCGCTCTTTGTTACTCTTGAAAGGTCATAGAGATCAGGGGACGTGGAAGGAAGCAACTATCTTGCCTATCTTCAAGAAGCCCGAGAAAGAGAATCCAGGGAACTACAGACCAGCCAGTGTCACCTTGACCCCTAGGACTGAGACAGAGCAAATCCTCCTGGAAGTCATCTGCAAACATATTAAGGACAAGAAGCTGATTAGGGGTAACTGGCATTGATTTACAAAAGGGAAATCATGCCTACCTAAACTGGTAGCCTGTGATGAAATGGCCAGCTTAGTGGACAGGGGAAGAGCATTGGATATTGTTTATTGTGACTTTAGTAAAGCTTTGGACACAGTCTCCATAACAGTCTCGTAGATATACTAATGAAATGTGGACTTTATGTAAACACAGTGAGGAGGATTTGAAAACTGACTGAACTTCTGGATTTGAAGGATTGCGATGAGTGACACAAAGTCTAGGTGGAGGCCAGTAACTAGTGGTACGCTCCAAGGATCTGTGCTGGGGCCACTGCTGGTTAGCATCTTTAATAAAGATCTTCATGATGGGATGGAGTGCAACCTTGCAGAAGATGCAAAACTGGGAGGAATGGTTGATTCACAAGGTAGTTGAGCTTCCTCTCAGACTGACCTCAAGAAGCTGGAGAACTGAGCCAAGAGGAATCTCATGATCTTAAAGGTCTTCTGAAACCTAAATGAGACTATGATTATATGAATCATGAAGTTCAACAAAGAGAGATGCAACTGGTGAGAGGTAACTCCATGCACCTGTGGACAGAAAGTTGACCAGGAGCCAGCAGTGTGCCCTTGTGGCAAAGGCAGCCAACAGTCTGCTGGGCTGCATTATGTAGAGCATTGCCGGCAAGACCAAGGGAAGCAATCCTTCCCTGCTACTCAGTGCTGGTGAGACGCATCTGGAGCGCTGGTTCTGGGCTCCCAGGTAAAAGTGAGGTGTGGACGTCCTGGAGCAAGTCTAGAGAAGGGCCACTAAGATGGGAAAGGGGCTGGAGCACATGCCATGCAAAGAGAGGCTGAGAGTGCTCTGCTCCTTTTTGTTGGAGAAGAGCAGGCTCGGGGGGGTGTCTTGTCAAAGTGTATAAATACCTGACTGGAGATGGGTGGGGTAAAGAAGCGAAGCCAGACTCTTCTCTGTGGAATCCAGTGACAGGGTGAGGCACAATGGGCACAAATTGAAATAGGGGACATTAGAATGAAAGAAAGGGTGGTGAAACACTGGAACAGGTTGCCCAGAGAGGTTGTGGAGTCTCTGTCCTCAGAGAAGGTCAAAAGGTAAGAGGGCATGGTCCAGAGCAACCTGCTCTGGGTGACTGCGTTTGAGCAGAGGGCTTGGGCAAATGGTCTCCAGAGGTGCCTTCCAACCCCAAGCCTCCTGAGATTCTGTGACTAGATGGGGGCAGAGCTGAGGCCTGGAGAGCTCCCTTGATGGAAAGGGCTGGGAACAGCTTCAGGTGCTTTCCAATGAGCTTCCCCAGCATTGGCACCTTATGAGTCCATCCCCGGTGCTGCGGTGGAAGGATTGGGGGTGCAGTTGGAAGGATTTGGGGAGGGGGGAGGAGTCTGGGAAGCTACAGAGCAATAGGCCTGACGTTTGGTGCAGGCAACTGAGTAGGAAGTGCACTAACCCCTAAACTTAGTGGCTGTTTGGGTAAAAGGTGGTATATTATGAACGCGTCAACGTGTCTTCTGTAAGGGAAGGTCAGCTGCTGTGGAGCACAGGGACAAGGGGGAGCTCTGTCATAAAACGAGGGACGCTTGAGATTGGCATAGTCATTTGGTGAAGTATCTGGCCTAAGAGGGAATAGTCCCAAATGGGTGAGTAAATGAATTGGTCAAAAGAGTGTGAGTTTTCAACGGAGTATTTGGAACTGAAGTCTTGGGGTGGGAGGAGGCAGCTCTGTGAAGCTCTCAGCTCGGTTCTTGTGGCAGCCACCCAAGCGCCGTGAGCACTGGGAATTCTTAGCAAAGGAGTAGAAAACAGCAAAGTGGTTTCCTGCCACAGTACAGAGCTTAAAGTGTAGCAATAAGCCTTTCCTTCTTTTTTTCTTTTCCTTTCTTTGCTGGTCTCTTCCTAATTAGACGGGTTCTTCACAGCACAGCTGCATGACCCTTCTTCCAGCCAATGTATTTGCCAAATGTACGGTGTCACATCCTCCCTCATTTGCATAGTATCTCCATGTGTTGAGACTCCACCTTTCACCGTTTCTTTTCACAAGAAGGAGGTGCCAGACCATAGAGGTTCTCTCATAGGGGCTCTCAGAGACACTAAGCTCTTCAAAATCTTGTCCAGCGGAGCAGTGACTTCTGGGGTGTCCTGAAAGCAGGGACAGGCGAGTAGTATTTGCAGTTTCTGTGAGTGGGACTTGCAGTTTCAGAGGAAAGCAGAGAGACCGATTTCCTGTGTTTGTTACGTGGAAGAACTAATTCTGTCCCATCAAGCCTGTGTTTCCTTTCTCTTCTACAGCTTAACAAGCTAAAAAATATCTTACAAGGTTCAACCAGCTTTGGTGTGGAGGGAGGGGGAAATAAGTAGGTAAAAAGCAGAGTGGGTTTTTTTTTTTTTTGCTGCCTGTAACACCCACAGCACATGCTGGCATTTCTCTGCAAGCGAAAAAAATGTTCTGGGAATCCAGAGCTGCTGATTTGTGATTCGGCTGATCTCCACTGTCCCCCAAGCTCCCGTGCCTACTGGAGAGCGGTGGCTCCGTGCTGTTGCAGTTGGAAACCTCTCAGTGAGGCTGACAAGTCATTTTCTGGCTTTATGGAGAGTTCAATATGTGACTGAGTTGCAGTAACCAAGCGTGAATAAGAAATGGCATTGGGCCAGCTGGGTTCTCTGTCCTGTTCCCTGGCCGCTTGGTTACAGCTTAAAGCTTTTGCTGCTTCCTGAAGCTCTCTGTTCTGCAACGTGGGGGTTTGGAGATGGAGCAGAGGGAGGCAGGGGAAATGCCACAATCCTCCTGGCTGCTTCCCCCTCCGTTGTGCATTGACCCGAAGGCCCTGTTGACAATACAGAGAAGCCAGGAGCCTGTTTCAGAAGTGACCAAAAGGCATCATTTAAGCATGCTGCCCTGAGGTGAAGGAAGGAGAGTTCTCTTCTGCCGTGGCGCTGTCCCAAGGCTCACGGTCTGCTGCCTTGCCCATGAGTGTCTTTTTCTTCTTTTCTCCCCTTCAGATCTCGACGGTTGTCTTGGGAGAGCAGGCTCCGACTGGAGCAAGACTGCCTAGGATGTCCAACTGCCTGCCAAAACTGAGCACAGTGCTGCCGAGCCACAGGCTCGGGGGTGGGGTTATTTATCCTCACCATTTCATTTGTGTTCTTTGCCTCTGTTGTGTTCTACTGGAGAACTGGGAATGATGCTGAGGCCCAACTGTACAGCTTCCATACACAAAGCAAATGTGCTGAGTTCTTGCCTTACCTTCCCCATCCTACTGCTGGTGGGCCCCCTCCTTCCCCGGGGGATGTGTTTTTTGTGGAGACCTCGGAGAAAACTGACCCAAGCTACCTGTTCACGTGCTCTGTGGAGTCAGCGGCCCGGACGCACCCTGGGACAAGGGTTGTGGTGCTCATGAAAGGCCTGGCAAATGGGAATGCCTCATTACCCAACCACTGGGCATTCTCGCTGCTGAGCTGCTTCCCCAATGTGGAATTCCGTCACCTGGACTTGCCGGAGCTTTTCTCAGGGACGCCTCTGGCAAAGTGGTACTTGCAGTCCGAGCACCAGAAGGAAGAGCATTTCTTAGCCGTCCTGTCTGATGCCTGCAGAATCACCATCATGTGGAAATTTGGTGGCATCTACCTGGACACAGACTTCATTGTGCTTAGGAACTTGAAGAACCTCACCAATGCCCTGGGTATCCAGTCTCAGGATGTACTGAATGGGGCCTTTCTGTCCTTCAAACCCAAGCATGAGTTCATGGAACTTTGCATGAAGGACTTTGTGGAGAACTACAACGGCCAGATCTGGGGCCACCAGGGCCCAGAGCTCCTAACGCGTGTCTTCAAGAAGTGGTGCCCCATCAGTTATATCCAGAACAACATGAGCTGCAAAGGGGTGCGTGCTCTTTCCCCAGAAGTCCTTTATCCGATTTTCTGGGGGGACTGGAAGAAGTTATTTGATACGGTCAACTCCTCAGAGCTTCACAGGCTCCTTAAGAACACCTACGCGGTGCATGTGTGGAACAAACTGAGCCACGGGACACGGCTAGAGATCACATCGCAGGCTTTTCTGGCCCAGCTGTATTCTCAGTTCTGCCCTGCCACGTCTACAAAGATGAAGAGGGACTCTGAAGGGCAGTCGAGGCCTGTAATGTGACCCGTGGGCCCTTGGCTGCAGGGACGTTCCCCAACGTGAAGGAAACAGAGTGCCTTTCACCTTCCGCAGAGTTGGCTTCTAGCCCACGGAGCCAGTATTCTGTGCGACAAGGCAGTCGTTTTGTACCATTTCCGATATCTGCCTCAGATCCCACGTGCTTCAAGTATACACCAGGACCTGAGTTTTGGACTCTCTTGTTGTTCTTCAGTAGCCCTTGATGCTGCAGGGAAGGGTGAACTTTTTCATGGGTGCCTATCAGTTGCTGCCTATTGCTGTTCTCTCAATTGTATCAGGCCTGAAACGCCTCTCGTGTCATTTCAACAGGCGTAGGAACCCTTGGCTTGCTCTCTGTAACGCTTCTGAGTATGTCAATAAATGCCGGACAGTGCTGTAGGGCATGGTTTGGAGGAGCTTAGGACCAAACTCCCTGGGTGGTAAAGATTCTAACGGCTGGTGAAGTTTTGGGAGAGACTGTGAGTATATGAAACTCACTTTAAGAAATGGAAAAGATTTTAAATTCCTGTTCGGCTCAGTGTAAAGATTTTCTTGCTTTCCAGAGGTACTTATTTTAAATGATCTTTTCTACTGTTTTACTTTCCACGTCAATAGGCTGACTTTTGTGATGGCATTTGGGAAAAGAATTATCCAAAGGCAATTCTTTTACCAGTGTGCAGAAAGAGACAGGTATTGAGAACCATACTCTCATGCTAAATCACTGCTTGGAATTAGAAGTGTTCTTGAGTAACATATTTAAGATAGCATTGGTGGTAAAACAGATGGCAGGGTTTCACTGATTAGAGGGTATTTCCTTGTGGTTTATCTTCCTCTTACATAGGTAAACTAATAAGCAACCCATAATAATGCCACTCTAATTTAACTTACACCAGTCCTTTTTCCTTGTATCTAGAATCATACACTTTATTGCTGTATCATTCACTCCAGTAGGTACTTGTATTTGAGTTCCTAAGAAACGGTCCTGTCATCTTTGTCAGGAGTGTCATTGTACACCTTTTCTTAACCTTCTGTATTTGCTTGATAAGGAAGGGTTCTTTCATAGAAGTATTTCCATCAAATGCTAGGATTGGTCTGGGAAAGACTAGGCTGTGCAAAGATGCAGGATGCTCAAATGTGCAGCTTGGCATGCATTTCTTGTAGCTCTTTTTTCAGACAGGATACTGGTAGCACCATAGTGAAATACTGACATCTTTATAAGGTAACGTGCCATGGTTCCGATATGGAAAAATGATCAGTTGCCAATGGCATGATACCTTGATGTATATCTGAATGTCTTTTTCTCTGCCATTACTTTTGTACTTGCTGTTTCTTCACTACATAGAAATCCCACTGTACTTAGCAGCTATATGTGTGGGCAACTCTGCTCCCAAAGGGAGCGCATGTACTGCCAAACAATTGACAGAATTCTGGAGAGCATAATCAGTGGGAACACATCTTGATTAAAAGATTCCCACCGGAAGCACGTGAACATAACAAACACATTTTGGCTCAGTTAATTGTTTTAGCCAGGTTAAGTTCACAGCACAGCTGCATCACCCAGGTCCCCTCCCTGTACTAGGCACGAAGCCATCCTGCTAGGTGCTGCTTCCATCTTCTGCTTTCTTTCCTGTGTTCAGCAGCTGTCTGCCCATGCTACTCCTTCACAACAAGCTGTGCAACTGGTTGGTGGTATTGGTATGCAACAAGATAAAACCTCCACTATCTTTATGTTGGTTTTTCATCTACAGAAAAACACAATGGAAGGAAATTTCTTCTCAGGCTGTAAAAGAATCCAGGTATAACCTCTAAGTGAGGTTGCTGTTAGATTGTAGTGTCTGGCTGTGCAACTGGTGATTCTTTTTTAAAGAGGAAAGAAAAAAAAAAAAAAGCAGCACTTCTGCTTCTGGTCAGCAAACCTGCACCAGTTTGGCTGTATTGGGAACCAGGGTTATAAGGGGAGGAAGTTTGAGAAGACACAGGGGCACAGGAAGCCATGAGAGCACCTGGGAAGGTTTTTCTGAGGAGGAAGTGGTGACCTGAGGGCCACAGACTGGTGCTGTTTGTAGAAAGTGCCAAAGATAAAAAGCTCAAATTTGCATTTCCATATCCTTGCCTCTGGTACAGCAGGCTGTGGTCTTTTGGGTGGCTCCCACAGCACGATGGTGCCTGGGCACAAGGGGAAGGGCGAGGGAGCTAAGTCAGCACAGGCATGGCGGCCACAACTGAAGAGAAAGCAGGAAAAAGGCAGAGTGGTCTCACCTGTGGGCTGGCAGGCTTCTGCAGCCTGCCTGGCCATGGGAGGGCTGTGGATGGCCAGGGCTGTCATGGAGAGGAGGAGGGCCAGGAGGAAGAGGATGGCAGAGGGGGTCGGTCAAAGCGCTGATGGGGAGGGTCAGGACATGCTACTCGCCCTCCAGAGTTGCCTTTGGCTGGAG